CATTCGCCCCCTCCACACACACACATTTTAGTATTAAATTGTATTTTAATCGTAGTTCCTCATCTCCTCCCAGTATGTCTATCATCCAGCTATTCTCGTTACATTATGCTATTCGCCAACAAGTCTTCTGATGAGGCGTTGGCCAAAAAGTGATTATTTTTTATTTTTTTATTTTTAATTTATATTCGGTTTTCTCAGTATAAAACATATATATATATATATGTGTGTGTGTGTGTGTGTTAAGGTATGCTATATTAAAAGATTAAAGTGATCAATAAAAGGGATATAGCGTATGTAAATAGAAAAGTGTATGTGGAGGACAACACCCAGCGACGACAGTCTGTTTCATGCTTAAACGAAAGTCTTCAGGCCTGTCGCCGCTGCGTATTGAACTCAATATCCACACACTCACACACTATATATATATATATATATATATATATATATATATATATATATATATATATATATATAATAATTTTTTAAAAAAAATTATAACATAAGTATGTTATAAAATCACTAAAAAAAAAAAATTTTTTTTTTTTAACATCACACTTGATCTTATCAACAGATGATGTTAAAAAAAAAAATTTTTATTTTTGTAGTGATTTTATAACATACTTATGTTATAATTTTTTTATAAAAATAATTATATCTGCTCTACTCTTGTATTATTGAGCACTCTTTTAAGAATAGTAATTGTTGGTTATTGGAATTCATTCCGTGTATACCAATTATATACTTTAGTATATATATATATATATATATATATATATATATATATATATATATATGCATGTTTCATTAAATAATATAGACAAGTGTTGTCTATTTATTTTATGATAGACAACACTTGTCTATATTATTTAATGAAACATGCATCAATGAAAAATGCTGCCTAAATACACACACACTATATATATATATATATATATATATATATATATATATATATATATATATATATTAAGCGTTTCAACCCAAGCAAGGCGGGAACCCACTAGCACACAAGGGGTTACAGAGGATTTGGAGCAAGAGCAGATAGGAGTGATAGAGGAAAGGATGAGGAGAAGCATAGTGGATAGATCAAGGCAACTGGAGATGTCGATTGACATTACATTTGAATAGTTGGAGATTATAGCTCTCAGGGAAACTGGAATGGGATATATATATATATATATATATATATATATATATATATATAGTGCCACGCAAAAAATTACAACACATTAAAAAAATGTTTTTTAGGTATTTCTAATTAAACTTTTACTGCTTGTAGAACATATATTTAGGTCTTCAGTCAAACAATCAGGTTTTAAAAACAAAAAAAAATTCAAAAAAGAATCCTACGAAGAAGAACCGCTATTTAGTAACTCAAAGTTTACAACACATTTTTTTTTTTTATTTACAACGGCTTTTTTCATAAATGTATTCAAATTTTACTAGAATGTTCAAAATTAGGATGGGGTTGTTTTTTAGAACATTCCACATTAATTTTATGATTCCTTTTAGGAATGATTAAAAGTATTGCGTCATTCTTTTTCTGTCAACCGTCCATTAAACATTTGACAAAATGGAGAAAAGCAAAATAATTAATCAAGACCTCCGTAAACGTATTGCTGACCTTCATACAAATAGACTAGGTTATAGGAAGATATCTAGTCAGTTAAATGTGCCATTGAGTTCAGCTGGTACGAAAATTCATCAATGGAAGGCGTGTCATTCCATCCCCACCCTAAAAATGCTCTGGTCGTCCTCTGGTCGCAGAAAGGTAACGGAACCTATGGGAAGATTATTGGCGGGAAAATTTGGCAACGAACCCCGAGTTATGCTCAAATATCTTCAGGGAGGACTAGAAGTAAGTGGAGTAAAATTGAGTACAGATACAATTAGTTCGGTATGGCATCTTTTCCAGAACTCCAAGGAAAAAAATTCTTAAGCGAAAACACGTTCTTGCTAGACTGGCCTTTGCAAACGGGCATTGTATCAAACCTGCAGCATTTTCGAAAATGTACTTTAGTCAGACGAAACGAAAATTGAACTTTTTCGCAGAAATGCACTAGCAAAGGTCTGGAGAAAGAAGCGTAGTGAATATTTGCCGAAGAATACTAACACAACAGTAAAATTTAGAGGCAGATTAATCAGAATCTGGGGCTGCTTTAGTACCCAACGTATAAGGAACATTGAAATAATAATAAAAAGGAAGATGAATGGAGCATATTATAAGGATATTTAGGAGATAAATTTATGTCAGAGTGCGCATTTGCTGGGTTTGAAACCAGGTTGTGTCCTTCATCAAGACAACGATCCTAAAACTACAAAGCTTACAAAATCATGGTTAAGTTCAAATAGAAGAGACGTTCTAAAATGACCAAGTCAATATCCAGATCTCAGTCCGATTGAAAATTTATAGGGAGAGCTGAAACTGAAAATTCAAAGAAGGAACCCGCAAAACCTACATTTTTATCGTGAAGAATGGAAAAATATTAACCAAGAAATATGGAAAAAATTCGTAGGGGACTTACTCTAAACGCCTATATGCTGTAATTAGCAATAACGGTTACACTACGAAATATTATTAGATGATTCAATATATGTATTGTAAACTTTTGCGTTATTAAATATTGGTGTTTCTTCGTGGGATATTTTTATTGATTTTTTTTTTAAATCTAAAGGCTTAAACGTATGTATTATTAGCAATAAAAGTTTAATTAATCTGTGTTAGAAATACCTAAAGAAACATTTTTTGTAATGTGTTGTAAACTTTTGCGTAGCACTAATATATATATATATATATATATATATATATATATATATATATATATAATGAGGTATGTTAAGCATTTTTCATTGCCCTTCTATTTTAGCTATAGATTGCATATACTGAAAAATGTTGCACACTGCTAATATATAAAATAAAAGTTAAATATTCTTTTATTAATTTTTTGACCGGCTTTTCTTGTCTTATTTTTGGAAGATTTTCTCGCAACGCACCGGTCGTTTTTACATTCTACGACTGTCAGGAAAACAGCATTCATTGGAATGAAAAAGAAATGATAATGCCAAAAGAAATTTAGGCAACTTAATACTGTTACGTCTATTACGACTACTACTAGATTTAAATATACAATATGGTGTGAAGTAAAAAAAAAAATGGATAATGAAAAATATGACTAAATTTGAATGGTTACATTCCGTACCGAAATCAATTCATTTGAAACAGGCACCTAAATATAAAGAACACGAGGTCTTTGTCTGGTCCGTTCTGTTTCTCAGTCGTAGAACTGCCTAGATGTTATTATAAAAAAATAGCAGAATTAAGTAAAGAAGAACCACTCACAAAAGTAATGATGACACTGCTTCTTGTTCAGACAAGTTAAGACTTGAAATAATCTAACAAGAACATAAGTATTGTACTCAGATTTTGAAAAGTTCGCAGCTCGATCAAGAAACCCTTATAAAATTTAAAAAAAAAACATGCTCTCTTGCTTTTGGGAAGAACTTTTTGACACAATCTTCTTGTACCTTGAATTCTCGAATTCTTTTTAAGAACTACCTTTCTTTTAATTTTATTTTTGTAACTCCTATGCCGCGTAGTTTTTCTCCTATATGCCTGTGAATGATGGACACTCTCCTCACAGATGAAGAAGGATGCTGAGAATACCATGAACCGAATATGTGAGCAACAACAAGGTTCTGCAGTGGTTCCCAAATTTTTTTTTCTTTGGGCCGCATTTTCGGAATTAAAATTTGCTGGTGCCTCACCAAATTGTATACGTAAAAATACATTTAAGAATAAAAAAACTGAGAGATAGCAGCGGATTCGAAGTCAGAACATTATCATTGATAACTCTCTTCTCCAATTTACGGACCCTAATTACTATATTCTTAATACTTGATATAATGCAAAAATATCACAATGATAAAATCGGTCAATAATTATTTATAACTATTTATACTGAGACTCATGCGTGTAATTACATGTAATCCAGAATAATACTTTAAATCTTGAAATCATATTTTTGATGCATGAAGTTTTTAAAACTATTTTTAAATCTTTGATTGACTTTCAATCATTCCGTCTCATCTGCTATTTTCTTCTGTCGCACCGTTGGGGCTCGCCGCATTGTTTGAGAACTACTGTTCCGAAGACAATGCAACAAAAAGAATACTTAACGTCGGGAAGAGACAGTTGAAATTTTTGGGGTACGTAATGAGAAAAGAGGGCTTGAAAAATTTAATACTCAGAATAAAGATTGGAGATAAGAGGACCAAAGAAAAGCAACGCTTAACCCACCTGGCGAGCATGAGGGACTTCGATGGCCGAGCAGAATTTGAGAGAGATGGAAAAAGGACAAACGTTAAGTGCTACAGGGAACAGTGGGAAGCCATGATCGCCAACCATCAAGGCTTTTACTAGGATTTTCATTGCCGACACGGTGTGTCTATAATAACATCTATAATAAGATGAGAACAATAGTTTTCAATAATTAAAAAATTTTATTTTCTTGACCTTCAATTTATCTCGGCGCTTCTGATTAATTAAGCAGCATGGACCAAAAATAAAGAATAAACCTCTCGTGATATTGGAAATCGCTTTCCTTATTTCTTTTGTGTTAGTTCCTTACTGATAAGGCTACGAAAGCCGGCCAATAGGTTTCGTCCAGTTTTAACTGTATAACTACACTCACTCAGTGTATTCTAGGCCCCCCTGTCAGGCAGGTTGTTATTAGCCTACGGACTTCTGTAAATTGATTCGTTTTCTACGGTTTATCAACCCATTACTGGTTATTTAAAGCCAAAAAATATTTTTAGATTGTAAGATTTTTTTTAGATAATAATTTTTTTAGTGATACAAATCTTACTAATAAATCCATAGCTTGGAGGAGATTCATGCCTTTCCCAAGGGTATTTGCGCGTAAGTGAATATAACGAAAAAATCGGGAATTCGAACTCGGGTCTCCGATTAACAATTCCATTAGACCACCCGCACATCCTAGCTTACAGCACCTGTTATTCCCAAGCTGTCACCCAACTAGGTACTGACCAGGCTTGACGTTGCTTAACTTCGGTGGACGTACGGGAACGGATATTTCAATGTGATGTAGCCGTAAGCCCTCCGACTTCTGTATAAGGAACACGAAGTTCAAACAGATTCTCCAATATGGGGAATCGATTATCACCTTTTGAATTTTACTGCTTACCCTAGTCTCTAAATTATGCATATTCATCGATGTGTATGTCTCGCTGAAACAGTCATGTTATATCAAAATAATTCTATTTTATTGCCTCATAAATCTTGTTCCAAATTGTCAGAAAACCATCTCAAAGACGCGAAGAAAAAGTGTAAAGACAACAATGATTAAAATAAATAGACAGAAGTAAAAAGTACGCTTGTAATTTCATTACGAAGCTATACGTGTCAGCCATACAAAAGGTCCAGTCCCCTTAGATTTGGCCAGAACGAAGAGAATACAGAGGACAGATGCAGTCGTCTCAATCGTTAACTAATTGGTTGTTGAAAGATTGATGTGGGAATAAAAACAGTAATATAATAATCCATCGCTTCTCTTTTGCTTCTCAGACATCCGTGTGTGTGTAAATTGAGCTACTGGGAGGGAGGTTGTTGATAGCCATTTATAGAAAATGTACACACCATCTTTGTTTTCACCTAACAACAAAGTATAAAATAATGTTAGTCACTGGTAGGACAAGAGATGGTCATTGATACATTCAAATTCTGATAATCAAGTAATATTTCCTTAGAAAAAATTAATAGACAATACAGTCGAGATAAGATAAAATAGACACCATATCGACTTATTATTGAAACATCTGTAAAAGGAATAATTAATAAAAATGTCTTGTTCCTATTAGTGAATGTATGTTTTAAATCGTTCAACATGAACAATTGTCGATACCCTGGGGCTGGATATTTTAGAGTTGGATGGCGTGGTGGATTTTATGATATATCAACCTCTCTTATCTAATGTCGAACATTGTGTTTGAGTGTAGAGAAGAGCAAACGCTGGACGCGCCTCTACCAGAGACTATAGTAGAGCAAAGGCTGGGCTCGTCTCCGCTCGAGTCTATGGCAGAGCTAAAGCTGGCCGCGTCTCCGCCGGAGTCTATGGCAGAGCTAAGGCTGGCCGCGTCTCCGCCGGAGTCTATGGCAGAGCTAAGGCTGGCCGCGTCTCCGCCGGAGTCTATGGCAGAACTAAGGCTGGCCGCGTCTCCGCCGGTATCTATGGCAGACCTAAGGCTGGCCGCGTCTCCGCCGGTATCTATGGCAGAACTAAGGCTGGCCGCGTCTCCGCCGGAGTCTATGGCAGAGCTAAGGCTGGCCGCGTCTCCGAAGCACAAACTAAAACGACAAAAACAACATCAACTTACGTCTTAACGCTGTGCAACTTCTGCCTAACGAAGGAAATGACAACAATCCCTTTTCCAGGAAAATTTAAACTCTTAAACATAATATTCACAAAAATGATAATATAAAATATAGCAAATAAAATCATAAAATTCAGTGTTAGGACCTTAAATTATCTAAAAACATATGCACTAAAGAAGCATCGGACAAAAACCGTTTTCTTGATTCCCATAAGCCTCCAGTGCGCTATATGTATTGTAGCCTATTGCATGAGGATTGCAGGTTTTCTATGTTCAAGCAGACACGCGCATCACATGAATTCCCCTTTCTAATGAAGTTTGATTTATTCATAAATATTATTATAAAATGTCACAAGACCTATCCAAATCGATGGGATTATTTACGTATCGATCGACAATTTTTCGTACATCAGAGTATTGATAATCTGCTCTGCATCAATGAACAGTGTAGTCTGTGTGTTCTCTGTGAAACGTATAACACACACACACATCATCGCCCCAGGTATTTTTTTTCAAATCTCTCCTTTCTTGAAAGAATTACTTCTTTTCCCTGTCAGCATACATGATCATAAAAATGTTTAAAAGAAAAGAAAACGATTAGGTTCAGAACCTTCTATTATTTAAAATATATAATACATAAACTAATTTCAAACTAAAAAGCATATATAATAATTACATTATAAAAAAATTTCAACGACATTTACTCACTTTCGTTTATTAAACATTAAATTACATCACTTAGCCTCTTCCATAATTTACCAAAACTTTTCAGTTAACCTGACGTATATTTAAGTTTTCTTAAATTTAAAAATTCTGAATAACTAACGACATCTATTTATATCGTCCTCATCTTTATTGCCATATAGACAACGTTTCGGCCGTTGTACACTACGGCCGTATTCAGGTGATATACGTTGGAATTTCGAACCGAACCCTTTTAGTTCACGAGGGTAGATTGTTCTAGTTCCACGTGCCATGCCTTTTGTGGATATCTCAGTTTCAATTAATTCCCTTTTAGTAACTCAACTCTCCGCAATTTTGTTCCAAGTCACTTTTTGAATTACTTCAACCAATGCTTTTATCTGCTGGGCCATCTACCGCCGTGGACTAAATAAAGGTTTCGGTTCGAAATTATATGATGTAAAGATCATGTAAATAGTTACAATACCTCATCTCACAAATATAGACAGATGTCTATTTCTGTTGGCAAATACTTGTTGCAAAATAGAATCCATATATTTGTCGTGATAAAGTCAATCAGGGGACAAAACGTGTCGGTTAAGATGAATTTTACATTTGTCTTCATTCGTCTGTGTGAGTGTGTGGAGATCTGTATAATTAATTCTGTCATTTTTTTTATAGATCTTATGTGCCGTGCCCTCTCAGTACGCAGGTGATCATGGCTCTCCACAATTTCCTGTCCTTTATAGCTTATAATAAATGTTGTCTTTTTGTTATTTCTCCTAAACCCTGTTCCACAATCGTTTTACCCAAGCATACTAAATATGTTATGGGCTGTTTTCCTCTATCCCTCTTGCCTTCAGTCTGTCCTGTGAGTATCAGATTTTTCAATCCCTCTCTCCTCTTTATGTGTCACAGAAAGTTCAACTCTCTCTTACTGATGTTAGGTATAAGTTTCCTTTTCGTTTCCATTTTCTCTAAAACCTCGTCATTGGTCACGTGTTCGGCCCATGGTATTTTCAACACCCTTTAGGCTTTAAATATAAAGGAAAGCATATGTGATTAAATATAAAAGGCACATAACTTTCATACCAAATTAATGCTGTTGCAAGGATAAAATGCTTATATTTAAAGATTCTGTTTCCAATCATAATTATGAATAATGGATTTCAGTAATAGACAGAAATAATCAGTAATATCCTCATTATCTTAACCGACTGCATCGCTGTCCTCAGCGACGCTCTGTCATTTGCTGAAGCTGTGAAAGAAATTGGAGAAGAGGGGAGAAATATTAATTATTGTGGCTTACCTATTTATTACCTGTGAAGCAATCAAGGATATATTTCAATTCCAGCGAGATTAATTTTTAGAAGTAATATAAAACACACACACACACACACTCTCTCTCTCTCTCTCTCTCTCTCTCTCTCTCTCTCTCTCTCTCTCTCCTCACTCACTCACTCACTCACTCACACTCACTCACACACACACACAAAATATATATAATCAACAGTAAAAAGTTGGGACGTAAATGACATTCTAGTAGCACGCTTAAATTTATGTAGTCGGGACACCAGGGTAAAAAAGCTCGTCAAAGCAGTTAACATGAAAATATTTGTAGAAAAGACGGAGGAAAGCCACATGACATTTGTGAGAAAGTGACTGAAGTCGAGATACCAAGCTAGGATTGATTCCATTGCAGATCCTTCTTCGGATTTTGTCAAGAAACTCATGATGAATAGCAGGCTATTTTTAGGGTATGCTATATTTAAGGATTAAAGTGCTCAATATCAAGGACAGAGCGTGTGTAAATATAAAAGTAGGCATTGGAGGCGACAGTGTGTTTCATGTTTAAACACAATCTTCATGTCTGAAGTGTGTTGACCTCTTAATATCCACTTATATATATATATATATGTATGTATATATATATATATATATATATATATATATATGGGGGAAGAGGATGTGCTTTAAAAAAGACAAGGGGGATGTGACTAAGTTTTCTCGGTTTGACGTTATAAACACTGTTTAATAAACAAAAATGGAGCGTTTATTTCAAATACAGATTATGCTCTTTAATAAAGTTTGAAGTAATAAATACATGCGTCTTTCTGTTGAAAGACCAGCGAATGTTTTTTGCAAATTCTTTTATATTTCGGACCAGTTTCCCGATTTCCGAATTCCAGTCGAATCCATTGCATCCACTTACGTGTTAATACTCTTGGGAAAGGTATGAATCGTCTTCATAAATTTAAGCGTGCTACCAGAATGTCATTTATGTCCCATCGTTTTACTGCTGAAATAGTTAAAAACCAACAGCTTCTTATCTCGGACTTCCCGCCTGTAGAACTCCCTTTCGTTTAATTCCTTCAATGAAAAATACAATCTTCAAAAAATTAAATGCAACGTCAATCGCGATCTTCTGTCTTATTGAATGCGTTCATCTTTTATCCTTTCCTCAAGCCCTCCTATACCCATTTTTTTCTCCCAACTTTACCCTTTGTAACCCCCCTCCCCGTGTAGTAGTGGCATTCCCGCCTTGCTTGAGGTGAAATCCTCGACCTCGAGAGATAGCCACAACGAGACAGTTTTTGAAAAAATGAAATATATAAATAGTTTCATTTTTCCTGTATTTTCTTCCAAACATAATTATTGACATTTTTCGTCCGTTTGTCAGCTCAACAGTCGCTTATTTTTCATTATAAAGATAAACGATAATAAGGTTTGTGTCGTCAAACGAATTTATACAACAGGATCAGGTTAGATTCCAAATAATTTATAGCCTGTTCTTTAAGACGTGTGATTGTCAGGAAATAAAAGATAGTCTTACTCCTGTTGTTGTCTTAATCCGGTTTATTTTTGTTTGATCCGATTAGAGAATGTCATTTGCTTTGAATACGTCTCCGTTGGTTCTCTCTGCCGCGCCAGATAGGGGTTTTTTGTCTTGTCTGAGTCGATCCTTCACATCTACAAATTTACCATTCGTCCATGTAAGGAATACTGTTGCCATATATGGTCTGGTGCCCCCTTCTGTTCATC